AATATAATACAGGTCTGGAGCTTCTGGAGCCATGTTTGCCTCTCAGGGGGAGTCTGCATGAGCATTGAGCCGACAGTGAGGGAAAAAGATACAAGACATTAAGAAAGAGTGATTGTGGCTGGGTGTGGTGGCTCATGCCTGTAATTCCAGCACTATGGAAGCCCCAGGCGGGCAGATCACGAACTCAGGACTTCAAGACCAACCTGACCAATATGGTGAAATGCTGTCTCTACTAAAAATAAAAAAATTAGCTGGGCGTGGTGGTACGTGCCTGTAGTTCCAGCTACTCAGGAGACTGAGGCAGAAGAATCCCTTGAATCTGGGAGGTGAAGGTTCTAGTGTGCTGAGATCACACCACTGCACTCCAGCATGGGAGACAGAGTGAGACTCCACCTAAAAAAAAAAAAGAAAAAAAAAAGAGTGATTGAGAGGGAAGAAGAGAGACCACTTGGATCAGGCCACACCTCAGGACTTTTCAGTTACGTGAGCTAACACACTGCCTTTCTTGCTTAGGCCATTTTGAGTTGGCTTTCTAATTCAGCACTTTGAACCACAAAGTCCGAATACAGTTCACTCCCTTAAAGTTCTTCCTCTCTGATCTCAAAGCTCTTCCTATCTGCAGACCTTGACTTGGACCGGGCATTCCTCTGTCTAGTGTACTCGTCACTTCTGACTGGGCATATAGTAGGTGCTCAGTGAACACTTGTTGAAGGAATCAATAGGCGGGGTTGGGACTCACTCCTCCTAAGAAGAGGCTTTGGTGACAGACAGGTAGCTGGCCTCAGGGAGAAGCTCCCAGAGGTGATGGTGGTCTAAGAGGCAGGTGGAGGGGGTGATGGGCACAGACAGTCAGTGTAAATAAGACCCTGCTGGCCCACGGCTGGGAGGGAGAGAATAAGGCGGGGTCCGTGTCTGGGAGGAATCAAGATAGGGGCCTGATCACAGGGTCAAAGCAGGGTCTGCTTCCTGCAACTGGAGTCCACAGCACTTTCACCTCCTCTGGACTGCCCCGCCCACATTCAGCCCCTGTCACCTTCTACTGTACGATCCTTTCCTCACCCAGCATTTACCTTTGGAAAATGTAAATCACACCCTTGCTGAAAGCCTCTAAGGGCTTTCCCCTGTGCTTATAGCAACATAATACTAATGACAGCTGGTACTCACACAGGGCTTAAGTAGTTTCCAGGTGCCCTTCGGGGCATTCTACTTACAATAACTCCCGTAACTTTCCCAACATCCCTGTAAGGCAAATACTAATATCTCCATTTTACAGATGAGAAAAATGAAGCACAGAGAGGTCAATAACTTGCCCAAGTTAACATGGATTAAAATCTCAACTTTTTACTAAGCATGGAAATCTCCACTTCTGGGGTCTTTGGGTCTTTGCATAGCTGCTTCTCTCTTATCAGCTGGGTCTCTGCACATACGTCATTTCCTCAGAAGGAGCCTCCGGGGTCATCCAACTTACAGTGTCCCCTCCTCTGTCTATTTCATCACCCTCTTTTATTGTTTTTTTTTTTTTTTACATCAATTACTCTTTTATGCAATTATCTTACTCATTTTCTTACATACACTCTTTTTTTGTCCTGGTTCCATGCTCACCCCCAGGGTGCCAGCTCCTGGAGAGCAGAGACCACATCTGTCTTGTTCACCTCTGTAGTCTAGCACCTGGCACAAGTGGGGAGCAGCTTAATAAACATTTTTTTTTTAATGAATGGAGGAAGGGAGAGATGGAGGCAGGGAGGAAGGAAGAAAGAAAAGAAGGAAGAAAGGAAGGAGGGAAGGAGGGAAAGAAGGAAGGAAGGGAGCTCCTTTAATTCCCCCTTTCCCATAACTAGAATGAGGAAGATGGGGCCTAAGGAAGAGAGAGTGCTGGGCAGAGAGGAAAAGGATGAAGAGAACTTGGGAAGGAGCTCAGGGGCCACAGAACATTCCCAGCTTAATCCAGGGTAGGCCCCACACTCAGTTGTAATGTTTCCCTAATTAGGGTTGTCAGATTTGGCAAATAAAAATACAGGACACCCAGTTAAATATTAGAATTTCAAGTAAACAACCAATAATTGGTTAATATAAGTATGCTGTGTGCAATTTTTGGGACAGATTTACACTAAATGTTGTTTGCTTTTTTCTGAAATTCACATTCACTGAGCAACTTGTGTTTTATCTGGCCACCCTATTCTGGATCTTCACTGTGTGCTGTGTGCCACAGAAGGTTCCACTGAACACTAGCCTGCTTTTATTTTACATGGAACATTTTGTTTTTAGTCCTGAATAAGGAATATCTTTATTGATCGAACAGAAGGAGAAAGTCCATACAAACAGCAGCTTGTTAAGAGAAGAATGGCTCCCAGGGTTGGATAAACACCCAAGACAAATGCCTTTTCCTGAGCTGAATGTGAGCTTGTGTTCTTGAACTTTCCTTCCGGTGAGCTTGATGGGATCTATCTCCCTGGGTGCTGCTGAAGATGGCAGGAAGAGAAATGTTCAGCCTGGGAGGAAAAGATTTATGGGAATGTGGGCTGAGTCACTGATTCATCCATTCATTCAGCCTCACCCAGCAGCTATTGGCAGACACTCAGAGATGAATGGCACCGGGTCCTGTCCTGGAGGCTCTCCATAGATAGGGAGATAAATTTTGGCTCCAGGACCAAGGCAAGTACTGCCTCCTTCCAAATCTGTCTCCACGGTTGAATGCAAAGAGTACATTTCTGTCCCGGTCTTTTCTCTCTCTGCCTTTCTCCTTCCCCATTCTTTTTTTTTTTTTTCCTCATCTCCTCTCTCTTCCTCTCTCACCTTCCCAGCCATTTGTCACCTTAAACCTTATTATTGGGCCGGGCACGGTGGCTCAGGCCTTGTAATCCCAGCACTTTAAGAGGCCGTGGCGGGCGGATCATGAGGTCAGAAGATCGAGACCATCCTGGCCAACATGGTGAAACCCCATCTCTACTAAAAATACAAAAAAATTAACTGGGTATGGTGGCGCACGCCTGTCCCAGCTACTCGGGAGGCTGAGGCAGGAGGATGGCTTGAACCTAGGAGGCGGAGATTGCAGTGAGCCGAGATTGTGCCCTGCACTACAGCCTGGGCGACAGTTTGAGATTCCGTCTCAAAAAAAAAAAAAAAAGAAAGAAAGAAAAAGAAAAAAAGGAAAAGAAAAACCTAATTACCTTGTCCGACTAGTATTGTGAAAAAACAATTACTGGTTCACTCAGTCCACGGACCTGGTCTTAGATGCTTTTCCCTTATCTCTCCAAGACCCTACTGCCCCTGCATCCAGAACTATCCAACCTCTTCCAGCTCAGCCTGGCATGCATTTGAATGCCGTTCTATGATTGCCTGATACAAAGCATAAGGGTGGGGGTTGGCACCATAAACCTCCATTCCTCATCTTCCTTTTGGGAGTCCCACTAGGTCCAACAACCTGAGATTCTCAGACCTGGCTCTGCCCCTTGACTTGGTTTACTTAACTGTTTCTCAAAAAATTATCAGTGGGTGATTTCTTCTGGTTTTAGGTTAAAAGACCTAGGTTCCATCCTGGATAATGCCACTGACAAACTGTGGTTTATATGAATTCCTTTACCTCTCTAAGACTTAGTTCTCATGATGAAGGCCTTATGAGAATATTCTGTTGTGGTCAATATGGACTCTCAAGCCAGACTGAGTTCAAATCTTTCATCTTCCACTACCAGCAGGGTGCCTTGTGAATAAGTCAAATAAGTGCATATGTGTAAAAAACTTAGAATGGTGTTTTGCATACACGTGCCTAATAAATGCCAGCTACTACTGTAATGGATACTAAAGTCCTTTCTCTTTTTTTTGAGACGGAGTTTCGCTCTTCTTACCCAGGCTGGAGTGCAATGGCGCGATCTTGGCTCACTGCAGCCTCCGCCTCCTGGGTTCAGGCAATTCTCCTGCCTCAGCCTCCTGAGTAGCTGGGATTACAGGCACGCGCCACCATGCCCAGCTGATTTTTTGTATTTTTAGTAGAGACGGGGTTTCACCATGTTGACCAGGATGGTCTTGATCTCTTGACCTTGTGATCCACCCGCCTCAGCCTCCAAAGTCTAAAGTCCTTTCTCTAAATGCTATTAGTATTAATATTACTGCCCAGTAAGTATTTGGGTGCAAGCTGGGAAAAATCAATTGAATACAGCTTTGGCTAAGAGACTAGAGGGTTCTTATGAAGAGAACTCAGAGGAGTGAAGTCTTAAGCTTTCTGAGCCTCAGTGTCCTCATTTGTAAGATGGCCATAACAGTCTAATCTCTGCCTGCTTCCCAAGAAAGCTCAAGTGCCTGGCCCGTTGTAAGCATTCAGAAAATATTTGTGAAATGAATCAGTGCATGGACCACGTGGGGCGTGTTCTTCATCTTAAGCCTCAATGGGCTCCAAAATGTCCCTTCCTAGATTCTACAAAAAGAGTGTTTCCAACCTACTGAATCAAAACAGAGGTTTCAACTGTGTGAGAATCCACACATTGCAAGGCATTTTCAGATAGCTGGTTTCTAGTTTTTATTGTGGGATATTCGGATTTTGCCATGAGCCTATATGGATTCCGAAATGTCCCTTCCCAGATTCTTGCTAACTTGGTGGGAATATCAAGGGCAAGGATTCAAGGGTGGGGATATTGCTAACTTGATTTAGCAGAGTTCTTTGCTAAAACTGGATTTTATCACGAAGTACACAGATTGGCCTAGGAGAAGGTTCAGGAGCCTGACTAAAGTTTGGTCAAGCCAAGAATCTTTGCCAATTTGCATAGGAAATATCTGGAAGGCTATATGCCGAAGTTAATAGTGCTTCTCTCTGAAGAAAAACTGTACATTAAAATTTTAATATGATTAAAAGGAAGAGCTCCTATTTAAACTCCAGAGGTCCTGTTTCGAATCTGACTCGAAACTCTATTCAGCTTTTCCGGAGTAGTTTCCGCTTGTGTAAACTGACAATGATAACACCTACCTCCCAGTGTTGTAATATGGGAGAGATATTACACAGTAGCGGACATAGCCTAGCGCAGGCGCAGTACAAGCACCATCAGCAGCGCCCCGCCCACATCCTACTACAATTTCCGGCAGGCTCCGCGCCCGCCTCTGGCGCGTCGCGGGTTGTGACGTAATGCGATAGCGCGGGGAATTTCGAGTGGTATTGGAGCGCCGGAGGCTAGTTGAGTGGTAGACCCCAGCATCTTCAGGAGCGACCATGGACTCCCTAACCGAGCCTCGGTGGCCGCCGGGCCTGGCAGTTATGAAGGTGAGTGCTTCGGGGAGGTTGGGGGCTCCCGGGTGCCTGCGGGGGGCGGTCCCTCCCTTTGAGGAGGATGTCCTCGCCTTGAGGAGAAAAAATGAGGCGCGAGAGTCGCACTGGGCCATAGTACCCGGCTCTGCTCTGTCACTAGCCGACCGCGTGGCTCTGGGTCTCAGTTTACTCCTTTGATAAGTGACAAGGACAAGCTTGGTGAGCTGAGGTTGACAGTCTAATGGAACCAGATATTCTGCGATCCAATCCGAACAGTAACATGGAGAAAAACAGCTGTTCTAAACAATGACATTGTCAGCTAACCTTCACTGAAAGCTTACTTTGTGTCAAGCACTAAACAGTGACACCGGACATGATTTTGGGTGGACACTTTATCAAGTAACATGTATGTAATCACGTAGCCAAGCAGGTAGTCTCCTTTACAGGCTCTTCTGATTATTCTCAATAAACCTAGTGCTGGTTTGTACCGACATACTGCCCCAGCTCCTCCCTCACACGTCCTATCTCTTCTGTAACAATTGCTCATCTCTCTGTCTTTTAAACAAAGATCAAGATTCAGCAGTCATCTTTCATTGCATCGAATTATTTCAGTTAAATAACACTTATTTTTGTAGCCACTTTCTGTTTTGGCAAGGCAACAGTTTCCATTTACGTAGTGGTGGTCCCTGGATTTGCTCAAGAGCAGATGCACATTCCCGTGCTGGCTAAAAGTCAGTTGTTTGGTGTTTCTTTTTGCTCTGTGATTATTTTTGTTTCTGACAGTGGCTAAGATAGCCTTTTTCTCTTCCTCAGTTTTGTAGTCTTGGGGATTATAGTATCTGTCCCACTGGCTCATAAAGTTGACTTTAGAATTAAGTGAAGGCTAAAATAAGTATAAGGCCTTGTTCTTCCTGCTGTCATCCGTGATATTTAGAGGTCTTGGGGACTTGAGATATCTGCATGACGAGAAGCTGACATTGTGAAAGGATCCAGGAAAGCGGTGGTTTCGAAGTTGTGATGGGCTTGGCACCAAGATGCCGTGGAAAAGAGCACAGATTTGAATTCTAGTGGTCCTGGGTGAAATCTGATCTCTGCCTCTTAGCTGTGTGACCTTCAGTTAGTAACATAACCTCTCTGAGCCTGAATTTCTTCAACTATAAATTAGAGACAAAAATAAACAGTTCATAGGGTTGATTAAATAAATGAGTTCATGTGTGTGGGTGCAGATTCTGCAGGCTTATTCATTGTGCTTGATGCGGTGCCTGACAGAAAGTGAGTGCTCAAGTATTATTTGCTGCTTGATTGAAAGTATCTGGAATGTAGTAAGCATTCAATGAATATATTTTATTACTATTATTAGCACTGTGCTAAGTGCTTCTCTCCCCTTTTAATTTGTTGTCATGAAGCTTGATTTGGATAAGGAAAGTAAAAGAACTCTGTAACCTGTAAAGCTCCTGCTTTGTAGATTTAAGCATATTTTACATATTCCCACAATTTCAGTGTTCTTTAGAGGCAGGTTCCATGTCTTCTCTGACTTTGGTATCTCACCACGGCACTGAATATAGAGTTTGATACCACAGAGTGTTCAGTGATTGTTCAACCAGAGAGTTGATTGAGCCCATATTTTTTGCTCACATTAGAATCATAGAATCTTAAGGTTTGGAAACCAGCCTCCTTCATTATTTTAAACTCTTTTATAACATATCTGCCAATTTCTCACCTAATTTTTGCTTGAACTCTTCCAGGGACAAAGAACTATCAGATCCCAGAAGTGGATCTGACTAAAGTTACTTCTAATAGAAGTCTGACTCAGAATGCATGGTTCCTGACTTAGGATCCGTAGAAAGACTTCGGAGTCTCAAGTTATTTGTAGAATTTTCGTATATATGTTTTTCTGAGAATAGAGTCCATAGTTTTCATCTAATTTTCAAAGGGATCTGTAACCCCAAAAACTTGGGTATTTTTGTAAGTATTATGTTTTTCTACCCATTTTCTACTCCCTTTCACTTTCTCTCTCTCTAAACTAAAGACATTTTGGGGTGTCTGCTGACCACTCTCTATTCAGGCATCGTTTTTTGTTTGGTTGGTTGAGGCACATGTGATACGCATATTACAGTCTTGGAGAGACATGACCAGAAATTTGAACCCGAAATAGCTCATCTTATGGAGTGTCAACTTCCACAAATTGTGCTCTGCAGATCTTTCTGAATCATTACTCCACCGAAGAGAATGGCATAGATAAGAAAGAGTGGTATGACAGACTGGTTCCGGCTTCTGGGCCTGCCTCTGATCTTAATTGATCTTTAACATTAACCCTCTAGATTTTTGTGTCTGTGACAGCTTACCATCCACAATAATGGAAGATTTTGGCATTTTATTATTTCCCTGGTTTTATTTTAGCAAAATTGGACTCTTTTTGGCATATTGTAAATGTAATAGGTGTACACAGTAGAAAAAAATTAAAATTCAGAGTAAGATAAAGGTGAAAAAGAAAATCATCTGTAATCCTACCACCCAGAGAACCAGTGTTTAACATTTTACCTTATTTTCCTTCAGTTTTTACGCATTTAAAATTTGGGATCATTGTGGAGTCAACTTCTTGGGTTTGATTCAGCCAACCTAGGAACTCTGAAGGCTTTGTTTTTAAAATTGGGGTACTGATGCTGTGGACTTTATAAGATTGCCATGAAGATTAAACTACAGAGTTGCCATTATTATGTATTATTGGCATATATTTATTTTCTGATTTTTATTTTCCTATGGCATTAAATATTCTTTGAAAGCATGTTTTTTAATGGTTGCATAATATTTCATCATATGGACTGTTGGCAACATTAGTCTTTTTTTTGTATAAATTTTAAAAATTCAGATAATAGGTTCACTTGGTTCAGGATACACATGAAGTGAAAAGTAAAAGTTTCCTTCTTACCGTGTTCCTGGCCCTGATCATTTTTATTATTATCTTCTCATAATTTGTTTGTATTTCTGATGAAAATAGATACTTTTTTTTTTTTTTGAGATAGGGTCTCACCGTCACCCAGGCTGCTTGCTGCCTTGAACTCCTGGCCTAAAGTGATCCTTCCGCCTTAGCCTCCTGAGTAGCTGGAACTACAGGCATGTGCCATCATGCCCAACTAATTTTTACTTTTTTTTATAGACATGGATTTTTGCTATTTTGCTCAGGCTGGTCTTGAATTCCTGAATTTAAGCAATTCTCCTGCCGTGGTCTCCCAAAGTGCTAGGATTACAGGCAAGAGCCACCAAGCTAGGCTTATTAGAATACATTCTTTTTTTTTTTTTGAGAGAAGGAAAGAAAAAAAAAGGAGTGAAGGAGAGGAAGAAAGAGGAAGAAAAAGAGGGAGAGAGAACGGAAATGTTGCTTTATTCTAAAAAATGGGTATTAATAATGGCCAATCAATATTTCATTTAAACCTATGAGTAGGTGTGATGTGGTATTGACAAGAATGTATATTTTGTGTATTTAAAGTGGAGAGCTCTATAAATATTTATTAAGTTTACTTGTTCCGGATCTGAGTTCGAGTCCTGGATATCCTTATTAATTTTCTGTCTCATGGAGTCTAAGTCTCTGTGTATCTGGGTGTTAGGATCGTTAGCTCTTATTGTTGCATTGATCCTTTTACCACTATATCTTTGTTGCTTTAAAATCTATTTTATCAGATGCGAGAATTGCAACTCCTGCTTTTTATTTATTTATTTATTTTTGCTCTCCATTTGGTTGGTAAATCTTTCTCCATCCCTTTGTTTTGAGTCTTTGTGTATCCTTACATGTGAAATGGGTCTGGATGTAGCATACAGTTGGGTTTTGGCTGTATCTTTTGATTGGGGGATTTAGTCAATTTAAATTTAGGTTTACTACCATTTGATGTTAACTGGCTGTTTTATCCATTCATTGATGTAAATTCTTCTTTATGTTGATGCTCTGTACTTTTTGGTATATTTTTAGAAAGGCTAATACTGGTTGATTCTTTCTATGTGTAATGCTTCTTTCAGAAGTTCTTGTAAAGCAGGGCTGGTGGTAATAAAATCTCTGAATACTTGCTTGTTCATAAAAGATTTTATTTTTCCTTCAGTTGTGAAGCTTAGTTTGGCTGGATAAGAAATTCTGGGCTGAAAGTTCTGTTCTTTAAGGATGTTGAATATTGGCCCCTACTCTCTTCTGGCTTGTAGAGTGTCTGCTCAGAGATCTGCTGTAAGTCTGATGGGCTTGCCTTTGTGGGTAACCTGACCTTTCTCTCAGGCTGCCCTTAGTATTTTCTCCTTCCTTTCAACCCTCATGAATCTAATGATTATGTGCCTTGGGGTTGCTCTTCTTGAGGAATATCTTCGTGGTGGTCTCTGTATTACCTGGGGTTGAATATTGTCCTGCTTTGCTAGGTTAGGAAAATTTTCCTGAATAATATCCTGAAGAATATTTTCCAGCTTGGATTCATTATCTGCATCGCATTCAGGTACACCTATCAAACGTAAATTTGGTCTTTTCACATAGTCCCACATTTCTTGGAGACTTTGCTCATTCCTTTTTATCCTTTTTTCTCTAATCTTGTCTTCTCGTTTTATTTCATTAAGTTGGTCTTCGACCTCTGATATCCTTTCTTCTGCTTGATCAATTCCAGTGTTTAAACCTGTGCATACTTCTCGGAGTTCCCATATTGTATTCTTCAGTTCCATTAATTCACCTATATTCCTCTCTAAGTTGTCTATTCTCAATAGGATTTCATCAAACCTTTTTTCAAAGTTCTTAGTTTCTTCACATTGGGCTACAACATGTTCTTTTAACTCACAGAAGTTTCTTATTATCCATCTTCTGAAGCCTGATTCTGTTAATGGGATGTGCTCGTTCTCCATCAAGCCTTGTTCCCTTGTTGATGAGGAACTGTGATCCTCTTTAGAGGAAGAGTCATTCTGATTTTGAGTATTCTCAGCCTTTTTATGCTGGTTTCTTCCCATTATTGTAAATTTATCCACCTGTCATCTTTGTAATTACCAACTTTCAAATTAGGTCTCTGAGTGGACATCCAAGTTGTTAATTCCCAGGGCCAAAATATGAGCAACCCACTGCGCCGGCCAAAACAGCGGCATTAAGACTGACGGTGCTTTAATGCCCAGAAATCTCCAGTCTGGCTTCCTTCTTGAGTCCGTAATAGGCGACTCTGCCTTCCCGGAGCTCCAAACGTCGGTCAGAAGGGGAACCAGTCCCTTTTACTCTGCACCAAGAGTCGCGCTGGCGACCCGTGGGGCTCTTCTGCTCCATGAGTGACAAAAACTTGTCTGAAAGTGTGGCGTCCTCTCGTTCTCTGCGCTTTCACTGGGAGCTGCAATCCCGAGATGTTAGCAATCAGCCACCTTGGATCCTTCTTCAGAATACATTCTTATTCACCCTTCCCTTTTAAACAAACAGTAGCATAGCATATGTGCTGTCAGTACCTTATTTCCTTTTTTTCACTTATCTTGGCGATCTTTTCATACCAGTACAAAGGAGAGCTTCCTCCTTTTTTTTTTTCTTGGAGACAGGCTTTAGATCTGTCGGGAATACAGTGTTGCGATGTGGGCTCACTGTAACCTCTGCCTTTTGGACTCAAGCGATCCTCCTGCTGAGAGCTTCCTCCTTTTAAAAGATATTTATATTGAATGGAATAATATTTTATTTTAACCAAGTTGAAGATTTTTGGTTGCAAGAATAGTTTCTTTCCTGTTTAGATTGCATTTCAGGTTGGCACACATCTATCTTTCCAAGTTGTCTGCTTCCTCTTCCTTTGCTTTCACTGGGTCCACCTCTTTTCATTTGGCTCCACGAAGAAAGCACTGGTTTGCCAGAAGGGAGACAGGAATTTTGGTCTTGACTTGACTAATGCCTATTGTTGTGTGCTTGCTCTTGATACCAGTTTCCTCTTTTGTGAAGTAAGGGTTTTAACTAGACAGTTTCTAGTGTTTGGCTTTAACATTCTTTGATTTGATTCTTAACCTGTGTGGTGGCATTGGCTACTTTTCATCCAACAGTGACTATAGGCTAGGTGCTGGAGTCCGAAGAGGAGGAGGCTTGGAGTGAGAGCTGGAAGCACATTGCAAGTGGAACAGAAGTACAGTAGCCCTTATGTGAAGGGATGACAATATGGCACAAGAATCGGTACACCATCATCTTTAGCTGTCTAAAGCAATTTGGGCAACCTGAGACTGAATGTGTAAGAGTCATATGAGAGAAGTTTTTGTTTGTTTCTTAAGATCCCTTGTAGTTTATCTGGAGTTAGCTTTTGAATTTGTGTATTTGGCAAATAATTTGAATTTTTTTTAGGGGATGGAGAAAAAGTTTTGTGACAGACTTCCAATTTTGATGTCTTTCTGATATGTATATATGCATCTTTGCATTTCAGACAGTAGATGATTTGCTGCGGTGTGGAATTTGCTTTGAGTATTTCAACATTGCAATGATAATTCCTCAGTGTTCGCATAACTGTAAGTATGTTTTGTTCTTGTGAATTAGTAAATTGTGATTTTTGCATGAGGTAGTGTTAATTTAACACCAAAAGATACATGCACATATTTATGTTTCACCTTTAGCTCTTCTATCTTGTAGTTTTCAGAAGGTCTTTTTCACTGCCTTCCTCTTGAGTATTGAAGGTTTTTGCAAGGCTTCTATATTTTCTCCTGCCTTCCCCTTGGATATTTTTTTTATTGAGAGGGAGGTTCGCTCTTGTTACCCAGGCTGGAGTGCAATGGCGCGATCTCGGCTCAGCGCAACCTCTCCTCCTGGGTTCAGGCAATTCTCCTGCCTCAGCCTCCTTAGTAGCTGGGATTACAGGCATGCGCCACTATGCCCAGCTAATTTTTTGTATTTTTAGTAGAGATGGGGTTTCACCATGTTGACCAGGATGGTCTCGATCTCTTGACCTTGTGATCCACCCACCTTGGCCTCCCAAAGTGCTGGGATTACAGGCTTGAGCCACGGCGCCTGGCCCTCCCCTTGGATATTTTTATGCCTTTTATGGCAATGAAATTTTTGGTCACAATAAGTGGTTCTTTATTTGCCAAGTGCTTTTTGATGTTAAGTTTCAGAATTTTTGTTTTTAATAGGATAACAGTTAGGTAGTTCCTCCAAGTAGCACTTGTTATAGAATTTCAAAGTTTAAAAATCTGTAACAATAAGAATATTTCCCCAGTAGGAGAATTCTTCCACTGAATTTATTACAGACAGTTTTATAACTTAACTGGTATGTGATGCTAGGAAGGCTTATGTTGGAATTTGTTTGTACTTCTCTTTATGAGTCTAGGATATAAGCATTTAAACAAATTGTACCTTGAGATATTTAGTGCATAGAGGTTACCGTATCATTGTTGAGGAGCTAGACATGCATTTTACAGGTTAATTAGGTTCATGATCTTTCTTGTCCTCTGTTTTCAAGTTGATTTATCTTGGAAAGTTAAAAAACAGTCAGCTTAGGCCTAAGAAATCAGTTTTAATGGTTAGTAGCTTTGGTGAAAAAGTTTCTGTAGAGAAAACATAGTAAGAGGATAGTCGTGATGTCAATACGGGCTTTAGAGATATCCCTGGGCTTCACTCTTGAAAATCTGGTGAGTAATTACTACTTTAGAAAATATTTGTAAGAATTAAATGTGCAGAACTCACTGTCTGGCACATGATGAGTCCTTAATAAATGTTTTCTTCCAGCCAAGATTCGCATTAACAAACAAGATAAGTTTTGGAGATTGTTTTAAAATATATTTTAACATCATCTTTATTTGGGTATAATTTACATACGATAAAATATATCCATTTAAAGTGCACATTAGAGTATTAAAGTATTAATGAATTTTGACAAATGTGTATGCTGTGTAACTACTGCAGTTGATACTGATAAATTTATCCCCATCTCAGTCAGTATGATCTCAGCCATCTGTAGTCTATTTCTGGATTCTTCTATTCCATTGATCTTAGAAACCTTTTCACCAAAACTACTGCCCACTAAAACAATTTTTTTTGGGCCTAAGTCTACTGCTTTTTAGCTTTCCAAGATAAATCAACTTGAAAATAGAGGACAAGAAAGATCATGAACCTAAATAATGTGTAAACTGTCAAGCTCTTGACCAATGATTGGATAACCCCTGTTGCACTAAATACCTTAAGGTACATTATTTTAAAATGCTTATGTGTTAGACTCATATCTATCTATCTTTATACCAGTACCATACGATCTTAATTACTGTGGCTTTGTAGTAAGTCTTGAAGTCAGGCATTGTAAGTCCTTCAACTTTGTTTTTCTTTGGTTCTTTTAGGATGTTTGCATTTTAAATTCATTTCCATATATAATTTAAAATGAGGTTGTCAGTTTCTACCAAAAGCCTGCTGGGATGTTTATTAGAATTGTATTAAATCTAGAGATCAATTTGGGAGAATTAACATCTTAACAATATTGAGTCTTCAATGTGTGAACACAATATACTTCTTTATTTCTTTCAACAGCATTGTTTGATTTTCATTGCACAGACCTTGCGCAAAGAAATATAACTTATATTGACCTTTTGTCTTCTGACTGCATTAAATTCACTTAATTCTAGCATCTTTTTTGTTAATCCCTTATAAATTTTTCCATACACAATCACATCATTTGTGAATAAAGACAGTTTTACTTCTTCCTTTCTGATCTATACGCCTTTATATTTCTTTTTGTTACACAGGCTAGTACCTCAAGTACAGTTGAAAGTGGTATGGATGGACATCCTGTCCTTACTCTAAATTTTGTGGGAAAGCATTCAGTCTTTTGCCATTAAATATGATGTTAGCTGTAAGTTTTTTTTATATTTTTAATATGTTTTCATAAACTTATCAGTTTGAGGCACTTCTCTACTCCTAGTTAGGTGAGAGGATTTTTTTTTTTTTTTAATTATGACTGGGTGTTGAATTTTGTCAAGTACTTTCTGCATCTATGGTGATGCTCATATGATCTTCTTCCTTTATTTTGTAATGTAGCTAATAACACTGATTTTTTTTTGGAAGAGGGGAACAGGGCCTCACTCCATTACCCAGGCTGGAAGTACAGTGATGCAGTCATGGCTCACTGCAGCCTTGGCCTTCCAGACTCAGGTGATCCTCCCACATCAGTCTCAGAGGAGCAGAGGCTGCAGGTGCATGCTGCCCACCATGCTTGGCTAATTTTAAAATTTTTTATAGAGATGGAGTTTTGCCATGTTTCCCAGGCTGGTCTCCAACTCCTGAGCTCAAGCAATCTCCCCACCTTGATCTCCGAAAGTGCTGGGATAATAGGTGTGAGTTACCATGCTTGGCTTGATTGATTTTTGAGTGTGAAAACAACCTTGAATTCCTTACAAGAAGTGTGTCCATTTATTCTAAGCTGCTGACTTTATTGGCATAGAGTTATCATTTTTAAAAATACTGCTTCCTATTGTTCTTTTTATGTCTGGAGGATCTGTTGTGATGCATCCTTTAATTCCTGATGCTAGAAAGGTGTTTCTTCTCTTTTTTCCTTGATCAGTCTAGACAGAAGTTTATCAATTTTAGTGCTCTTTTCAAAGAATCAGCTTTCGGTTCGTTGTTTTCTATATTTTTTCTGTTTTATTGATTTACAGTCCTAGCTTTATTATTTCCTTTCTTTTCCTTACTTAGGTTTGCTATTATTTTTCTAAATTGCTAAGACAGAAGCTGAGATCTTTCACTTTTCTTCTTTTCTAATGTAAGCATTTAAAGCTCTGTTTCCCTCTAGGCCCTGCTTTAGCTGCATCCCACAAATTTTGATATGTGTTTTCATTTTTATTCAGTTTAAAATATATTCTAATTTCCTTTGTGATTTCTTCTTTGGCCATGAATTACTAAGAAATTTGTTGTTTACTTTCCAAATACTTAGGACTTTTCCTACTATATTCCTGTTACTAATTTCCAATTTAATTATTTTCTGGTCTGAGAACATAATCTCTTTAATTTCACTTCTGGGAAATTATGTGAGACTTGTTTTATGGCCTAGCATATGGTCTTCTTGGTTAACGTACCTTGTGTACATGAAAAGAATGTCTATTCTGGTGTCGTTAGGTGGAATGTTCTATAAATGTCAACGAGGTCAAGTTGGTTGATACTGCTCTTTAAGTCTTCTATATCTCTATTGATTCTCTGCCTATCAGTAGGGAGAAAGGAGTGTTGAAAACTCCAAGAATAATTGTGAACTTACTGATTTTTCCTTTCACTTTTATCAAGTTTTGCTTTATATATTTTGAAGTGCCTTTATTAGGTACATACACATTTAGGATTGTTTTGCCTTCTTGATGAATTGACTTTTGTTATCATGAAATGTCCCTTTTCATCCTTGGTAGTATTCCTGGTTCTGAAGTCCACTTTTTTTCTAATGTTAATATAGCTGCTGTAATGACTAGCGTTTATCTTTTTCTATCCTTTTACATGTATCTATCTATATCTATCTATCTATCTATCTATCTATCTATCTATCTATCTATCTATCTGAGACAGAGTCTTGCTCTGTCACCACTACTGGAGTACAGTGGTGTGATCTTGGTTCACTGCAACTTCTGCCTTGTGGGTTCAAGCAATTATCCTGACTCAGCCTCCCAAGTAGATGGGAGTACAGGCCTGTGTCACCACACCTGGCTAATTTTTGTATTTTTAGTAGAGATGGAGTTTCACCATGTTGGCCAGGCTGGTCCAACTCCTGACCTCAGATGATCAACCACCTTGGCTTCCCAAAGAGCTGGGATTACAGGCGTGAACCACAGTGCCCTTCGGATCCTTTTACTTTTAACCTACCTTTGTTTATATTTAAATTGAGGTTTTTTTGTAGACAATGTATATTTGAGACTTGCGCTTTAATCCAGTCTGATAATATCTATTTTTACTTAGCATATTTAGACCTGCACTATTTAGTACAGTAGCTGGTAGGCACATGTGGTAGCTACTTATATTTTAATTAAAATTTATGTATTTAGATATACCATTTTGCATTTTGGTTTCAGTTTGCCCATCTATTCTAACCTTTCCTGCATTTTCATAGTGAAATAATTGAACTTTTTTAGTATTGTTTTTTTCAACATGTTGACTTACTAGATGTACTATTTTTTTTTTAGTATTTTTTTTCAACATGTTGACTTACTAGATGTACTATTTTTTTTTTTTTTTGGTGGTGGTTTAAAATATGCATCTTTGTTATGATCTCTCTTCAAACAATACTGTTCTGCCTGAATAATGTAAGACTGTGACAACTGTGTGCTTTCATTCCCCCGCTGATGCTCCTGTCATCCTATTGTTGTTTCCATTTTGTGTGTGTGTATTTATTATATACCCTACAATACATATGCTTTAGACAGTCAATTATTTTTTACAGAGAATAGACATGATAAAATATCTTTTACATTTACCCACATATTTATCATCTCTGATACTTTCTTTTCCTTTATATATATCAAAGTTTATTTCTGGTATTATTTTCTTTTTCCCT